TTCAGTGAGTTTTTATTGTGTTCCTATTATGTATGAGAGAATAGACTTGAATGTAACTAAAAGCCTCACCCAACTCATGTCAAAAGCTTGCACAATTCACAAATGCCCTTTCAAGTTAACTCAGCTATCCCATATTAAGTACTACCATGTGCCAAGCACTGAGTTAGTGGCTATGATTCAGAAACAAAGGATATATTGTCCTTACTTCAAGAAGTTAAAAAATCATGTCATGCAAAAAACTAAATGCTACAGCAGGGGTGTATAAAAAGTATAAAGGAGGCCCAGAGGCATCCTCCCTGACAAAGTAAGGCAAGGCTTCAGAAAGGAAGTAATAGTGGAATTTGGCTTAAGCAGAGAGGTAGGATTAACTTGCATCTAACTTACATCTGTGTAGTACTTGGGATTTTGCAAAATGTTTTGATAACAAGAGGCTCTCTCAGATATAGAACCTTATTCTGGGCCCCAGTGGGAGGGAGGAGCTCCTGGATGATAGGTGGAAGGGTAGAGGAGAGGGACCTAGAGGCCAGAGAGCTGAGGTAACTTGCCCAAGGTCACAAAGAAAACAAGCTTATAGACTATACTCCTGCTGTCTACACTAATCTTCCCAGATGTTCATATGGTTCACTCCCTCATGTCATTAAGAATGACTCAAATGGGTTCTCCTCAGAAAGACTTTTACTGAGCCCCAATCCAAAAATTAATTCCTTTCATAGTTCATTTCCTCACCCTACAATGCTCCCTTTTACTTCACAGCACTCACTGCTACCTGACATTATATATCCATTTGGGTTTTGTCTCTCTTCCCTGAAAGATTGTGAATTGATGAGGGCAGGGACCTTCTTTGTCTTGTTCAATTAGAATGTCTAGAATAAGGCTTGGTATGTAGCAGGCTCTCAGCAGTATTTGTTGGATGGATAAACTTTTACATTTAAAAAAATGAATAAATATGTGATCAACAGCCTTATTCTTCCATTTTTATACAATTGTCCAAATATTTTCTTACAGTCTATTCCCAATATCAAAATTGCTAGGTGCCCAAGGTAATTTATTGATTAGCTCAGTGACTGGCATACAGGAGATGTTGGATTAACATCTACTGAGTGACTGAAATTGAATGTTTTTCTTGAATTGCACCAAATTAACTGATTCCAGATTTAAATTCTGCCAGGATTGAATTGAGCATCTAAACCATTTGTTCATTCATTTATTAACTTATCAGACATTAACTACATTATAGAAACAAAATCAGGGGAATTGGTCCCTTGACCTCAAGAGGCTTTCAGTCTAATGAGGAAGAGACAGGTTAACCTATAGTTTGGCACTAAGCTAGTAATTCATTTTCTCTTCCCGGTGACCCTGGCTACTGGTTCTTAATATGTATAACCTTAGGCAATTTGTATGACCCTCTGAACGTGTGTTTGCTCATCTGTAAAATAGAGTTCACAGGGCTATGGAAAAGAATGGCATGTGAATACACATAAAAGCACTTAGCATACTGCCTGGAACAGAGCGAGAGTTCTACAGATGTTAATTAACATTATTACTAGCATCATTTTACAGAAATGATTGAGGCTCAGAAAAAGTTCAACTGTTTGTCTAAGTTAAGTAGTATAGGTGAAATTTGGACCCAGATCTCCCAACTTCATTCCCAGGCACTCCCTGCATTGCAATTCTGCCTGCATCATTAAGACCTCTTTTCCTGTGGCTGCTACCTTCTCCCATACTTTGGAACATGGGCACCAAGCCTTGAGTTGAGTTTCTAGGCCTCCTGGTGCATCCAGCTCTTGCCTCCCTACTCTTTCTTTTTCCTCTGTTCTATGCTGACAGCCCCCTAACTGCAACCCCACATGTTAATAGTTTTATGAAAAAAAAAATCTTTTGATAATTAAGCTGATGGAATTTAGAAATCAACAGAACAGTACATTTTCCCAGCGGAGCCAAGAAATTAATTAGGAGCAATTTGCTGTAAGAAACAATTTCCATAATTTTAAGTTTAAAAAAAAAGCAGAAAATCATTTTTGTGGGTGTTTGGTTTTTTTTTTTTTTTTTTTTTTTTTGCTTCCCCCCACCCCCCTGCTTTCCATTCCAAAGTAGTTTAAGTCCTGGAAAGACAAATTCTTCCAAATATCCTATTTTCTATTCTTCAGTCTCTTCCCCTCTCTCTGACTGGTTATATTCAAGGGTGAGGAGGAATAATATGAGACAGAGCCTTTTTGATCCTCTCCTTCACCCCATTGGGCAGAACTTATACTTTCCCAATGGCATGATTATAAAATGTACACATTCCTATCTCAAGAATGGGGACAGAATATGTGATGCCTTTGGAAAGGAGGCTGAAAGGGGAGAAACAGAGGTCAGGGTACACCAAATCAGAGTCCTAATGGGCCACAAGGGAGACAAGCCTGCTCTATAGGGAGGCATTAAAGCATCATGGCCAACAGCGTAGGCTCTAACTCTGGAGCCCGACTGTCTAGGATCACATCTCAATAGTGTCCTTTTACTATCTGTGTGATCCTGCCATAGTGCTTTAATTTCTCTGTGGCTCAGTTTCCTCATAATATAGTTCTGATGGTTTATAATGGCCCACCAAGCTCTTATGTCCACAGTAAGATCACAATGTCTGGCATATGGCAAGTGCTCATGAACATTTCTGATGATGTTGAGGATGATGATGATGATGATGATGATGATGATGATGGGTGGCAGGAACAAGCTCCCAAAAAGAGAAGTGTAAGCTGTCACTGGGTTCATCTTAGACCCTGAACACTCTAGTTCCAGACTCATGATGGCCAAAACTAAAGATCTATTCTATCTCAACAACCCTTTATTTTGGAAGGCATCATAGCAAAGAGCAATGGTTGTGAGATATCTTACATACACACACATGCACATGCACATGCACATGGTGCTAAGAATAGTGAAAATACCAAGGTTTGCAAATGATCTACTTTTTTATGTTAGGTAAAGCAGATTTAAAGCTACTCCTATGATAATTATAACATCACTCTTATTTTCTTGCAATTCAAATAGAAAAAAAAGAGGAAGTTGAGTTATAACTAGAGCTAAGGAATGGATTTTTAACTGGCGGAACTGGCAGTTAAAATAAACTAGCATTATTCTTAGTACAACCTGTTGTGAACAACCATTACCATTGCAGAGTTAACAGTTTTCATTGGGTTGTTATCATGCATTATTTCCATGATTTTTTGACTTTCATCTAAAGCTGAATGTATCAGTCAGTATACAATCAAGAAAAAAAATCATTCCAGATATTTGGAACAAAGAGGATTCAATGCATAGAACTGGCACCAACTGAGAAGCCAAACAGGAAATGGTAAAGAAGCACAGAGATTAGCAACAATAGGAAGACACTGCCACCCAGGCCTTATAAGGCTTAAAGGGAGAACAGGTGGCACTGGATCCCAGGAGCTACAATTACCTAGCAAAAGGTAGAACGTTGGCAACCTCCATGGCTCTACCCAGTAAGTGCTAGAGCCAAGGAGGAGACTCAGCTGCTGCCAGAGACACCTTCATGGCAGTAGAGGGGAATACTCTGGCTTCTCTCTTCTACTGTCTGATGTTTTAGCATATGCTGGTAGAGATTTGAATCCCATTTTCAATACTTACTAGCAATGCAGCTCCCTGCTAGTCCCCAGCCTGTTTTCACTTTTGTGACTCCCTTTGTAAAAGAGAATCTCTACCACATGAGGTTTGTCTCATCCCCCAGCCTGTGGAAAATTTCCCAGCTGTCATGATTCTGTACAGCTAAGACTGTTTCTTGCCTGCAACCACACTGAAAAGGGCTTCTGAAACAAGGAAGTGTGCAGAACTACATGTCTGCACATAGTAGTTACTCAAGAAATTATTTTTGCCTTGAAGTTGATAACTGCATGGGGAAATCATCCAGAGCAAGGACAGGGAGCCAGACTATCTGAGAGCCAAGAAAATGATAGCAGTATAGATGGCGGCCAACATTGTGAAGACACAAGACCAGCTCTTGCACCCTGGTAGGCTTCTTGGCTTTTCTGTAGCATAAGCAGATGTTGGCGGTATTTAAAGACTTATGACCTGGGAAACTAGGTAGAGCCAGGATTATAAGATGTAATATCTACAAAGTGCTTGGCATGCCATTTGATGAGCAATAAAAATTACTTTCCTTAGTACTCCTCTTTCATTTGCTTCAGCATGAATTTACTAAGCACCTTAGCTATATCAAGACCTGGTCTAGTTAGTAGAGATTCTGAGACAATATAATGGAGAAAGACATGGAAGCAGCCAACTAAAATTCAAATATAACAGGCTTCCTACCAAATGAAAGTACAGTACAGTAACAGCACATTGAGGCAATACAAAAATGTTAATTCTGATTTAAGAAATCAAGGACAATTTCAAAGAAATAGGATTTGTCCAGAATCTTGAAGGACAAACGAGATCTTGATTTGTTTGAGATCTTGACTTATCTTGATCTTGATAGAGGAGGAAAAAATATTCAGGCCTTGGGAAAAGCATAGAGGTAAAAGAGCGCAGAGCCTATTTGAGGACTGGTGAATAGTCCAATGTGGCAGACTCTGGGGCATGGGAATAAGAGGAGAGTGTGAAGTGAGGCAGTGGAAGATGAGCAAGGGAAGGACTTTGGAGCCAGATCCGTGAAGGTATGCTGTTAGCCAGAAAGACTCTGCATTTGTTGAGTCTTTTAGGGTTCCAAAGGTTGGGCTCAAATAGGCAATTTGCTGACAACAAATCATGGAAACAAGGGGAGCAAGATAAAACTTGAGTTGTAACTTATTTTTCTCCTGCCTAGCCCTTCATTCAATCCACTATCTGGAGATATTTGTAACTTCTAACTTCCCAGCCTCTTCTTGCCTTATGTCTTCTATCTTGGCCATCAGGCTATTTCCAAACCAAATTTTCTTTCTTTCTTTTTTTTTTGAGATGGAGTCTTGCCCTGTTGCCAAGCTGGAGTACAGCAGCATTAACTCAGCTCACTGCAGCCTCCACCTCTCGGGTTCAAGCAATTCTCCTGCCTCAGCCTCCCGAGTAACTGGGATTACAGGTGTGTGCCACTACACCCAGCTAATTTTTGTATTTTTAGTAGAGACGGGGTTTCACCATGTTGGCCAGGATGGTCTTGATCTCTTGACCTTGTGATCAACCTGCCTCAGCCTCCCAAAGTGCTGCAATTACAGGCGTGAGCCACTGCGCCCAGCATTATTTTCAAATTTTCTTAACCTGAAATTCATCTGATTCCTAGGGTCTGAAGTCTCTTTGAACGAAACATATCTCCCACCACAAAGCTGCCCTTGGTTGGGTGTGGGGTACAAAGGAACCAGGTGGTGAACTGCGATTGGAGCCCAGATACATGTTTTGCTAATGTGTGCCAGTGCTCTGGCCCAGAGTACCAGCTTCAGTAGTTCATGGTGACGGTACATGGCTTTAACAGTGCCAGCCAATTCAGCAAACTCCTTCACACCTTTTATTTTGTTTAATTATCCTACCAACCCTGAGAGTACAGATGCAATTATCATCAGCCCCATGTTACAAAATGAGAGACTGAAGCATGTGATAGTAGCTGAGGCTGGCTTGGGACTCTGGTCTTCTGAAGCTGGCTAAGGATGATTGTAGGAAGGGTTATCTAAGGAGTGACAGAAGGGAGGCCCTCATTACCTGTCATTTTAGGAAAGAACTTGTTTCTTGAAGCTTGAGGCTTAAATGCAATCCTGTCATGTTGATTTGTAGGTGAAGGTAAAAAGGCTCTGAGATCCAAAGTGAAGGTCCTAGACAAGCAGAAGGCAAAGCCACTGAGTCTGAAAGCAGTGGGGAAGTCCTTCCTTCCATTTCTTCCCCTCTAAATCTTCCAGCATAGGACTTCCCTGCTTAAGCACCTTTGTTGTCTCCCCATTGCCCATAGAAGACAATGCAATGTCATTAACAGGGCACTGAGAGTCGTGTACAGACTACCTCCAAAAGACATTTCCATTTTTATCTCTTAGATGCTCTGAGTTTTTTACTTGGTACTTGCATATATGTTGCATTTTACCATGTCGGTGCCTTTGCTTAGCTCTTCCCTCTGAGGAAAATTCCCCTTCCCCTTGGTTTCTACTTGTACATTTATTTAAGTACTTATTCATTTAGTCAGTGAGTGAATGAAGTATCTACCATTATATTCTTGAGGCACTGGGAATACAATAGAAAACATCATAAAATATCAGAGTCTCTGCTTTCACTGGGGAAGGTGAAAAGTATTAAACAATTACACAAATATATATGGACAAACTCTTAAAATAAATAGTGCAATAAGATACTGTGCCACAAAGTCCTAGATATGCTGGGATATCAATGAGGGCTTTTTGAGGTGGGATATTTAAGTTGACCTTTAAGACCTCTGATACCATCAGGACAGTTCAGGGACAGAATCTTCTATAAAACTGATTCAAGAGGCTGGTTGGAGTATTGGAAGTCACAGACCCAGTGAGAAGGCGGGTTGCACTAAAATAGGAATCCTTCCTTCCCTCCTGGCCTCCGCAGCAATTCCCAAAATAGGAAGCGAACAGAATTGTGTTTGTGTTCGAAGCTGAAATTATTCTTGTTTCCCTCCTCCCTGCATGCTACCCCTGCCGACATGTTTCTCACCCATCTCAGTATTCACTTTAGAGTCATAAAGAGCCTAACATGAACATCTCCCATGTACCAAACATGTGCTAGGTACTTGATGCACATCTTTACATAAATCCTTACTGCAATGTGCTGAGGTCAGTATTACCATTCTAATTGTATAAATGGGGAGACTGAGGCTCAGTCAGATTAAGAGGTTTTCCAGGTTTACATAGGTAGTGGTAGAGCTGAGATTCCAGGTCAGCTGGTCGCACCCACTCGTCCTAGCACTGCTCTCTGGAGCACACAGAGCACATCTGCTTCCTTGTCCCCCCAGCCCCTCAGCTTTGAAGACAACAACCTGGCCTACCTCCAAGTCATCTCTTCTCCAGGCCAAGCTTCCCAGCCATTAGCTTTAATCCCAAGGTTGGCAGGTTTACAGCCTTTCTACCCTTAATTGTTCTTCTTTCACTGGGCTTTTGCCTTGTTCCTTTGGGGAGCAAATCTAAGCATGCTGCTCCAGCAAGTAGATTCCTCCCACAACTCCCACTGACCTGCATCTGAAAGCCAATACCTCACCATGACTAATAAAGCCCTGTGTGACTGGCCTCTGCCTCTCCAGTCTTACATTTTAACGTTTACCCAACTACCATCTCCTCTACCACCCCTCACCCTAACACTCTACACTCTGAACTTTCTGAAGTCCTCCATTCTTTCTTACCACTCCTCCTAACATATCTATTCCTGGGCCTTCAGTTAACGGACTCCTATTTATGAGAGGTTAAGTCTTCATAAGAAAAGTCTGCTGTGATCATGTGAGTTATGGTGAATGTTCTTCCTCCTTGCTCACAGGACCCCCATGTTTTCTAGGTCCTACCTCTTGGTGTGCTGGATTGTGACTGTCATCTTATATCTGACATCTGACTCCCCCATTGTGAGCTATTTAAAAGCAGAAAAATAGGTTTGACTTTCCTTTCATTACATTCCCAGTGGCATATATTAGGTGTTCAGGGAAAACAGAGGGCAGCAAAGAAGAAAGAAGGGAGAGGGGGAGAGAGGAAAGACTCAAAGGAACACATGGCTCTTGGTGGGCTCAATCTTATTGACATGTCTTGTGAGAAGGAAACTATCTTAACTGAATATGCACATGTGTACATGCTCGCACACACACGCAGACACACACAAATACACACATACCCCTTTTGTCCCACCATCCCTTTCCCTTATATATTCCTTATAACAATTCTGATAAGCAGATATTCCCATTCTACAGGTGCCAAAAGTAAGGCCTATCAGAGGTGTCTTAGTTCAGAGATGAAATGAGTAGACCTGAAATTCAAGTGATAGCAACATTTACTTGTTCAATTATTCATCCATGCATTATACGTGCTTTGGTAACTCTCTGTTCCATATTTGGTGTTGGTCACTGGGAAACAAGGGACTCAGACTTATTCCTGACCTAGACAAAGTCTAAAGGAGGACAAGAAGTGAAACAATGCAATGCAATAGTCACAGCCAGGTAGAAATATGTGCTGGGTGCTGTGTGAGCAATAAGGAAGGAGCAGGAAGCTTTCCCTAAGCAGGAAGCATTGGAGCTGGGTTTTGAGGGAGAAATGGGAACTTGTCAGGCAGACAACAAAAGCGAGGTACATTCTAAGCAGTGGCTGTGGGAAAAGGAAAAGGAGAGAATCAGGAAAGGTGATAGGTAAAGACTTGTACCTTTAAGTCACCAGAGTACTCAGTCTGCCCCAGCTGACCCCTGGTGTTGGAGTCTAGCCAACCTTGGAGTGTGCATTGGCCTCCAGTTAGAGCTGGCTTACTTAGCAGGGGATGTTGGTTAATTATTTGGCACTGTGTTCCAGCCTACTGAGCAGTGTTAGACATAACAGAGGGAACCAGAGGTGATAGATGGTGATGGGAAAGCAAAATTGCTTCTTAGAGTTTGCTTCCTGACTGTGCCTACTGTAAAACACACTATTAGAAGGAAGAAAATCTTTGCTCTATTAATGAATAAACATGGAATAAATAGTTAGATGATTCAAAAACCAAGCCATTGCCCCTCTAGAATCTTGGGAAGTCTGATGCCAGAAGAGTTGGTACAAGCAATAAGAATGTTTTATATCAAATCGTCCTGGTATGTTTGGTGTAGTGCAATTGAATGAAAAGGTCCTGGCTGGAACCATGAGACCTAGGTTTGCATTCTGTCTCTCAAACTCATTAGGTCAACTCTGATGCCACTTAGGCAATGTGGATGCCAAGAAGGCCAATGCGATCAAAGCCCGTGTTACTAGAAATCTAATTATAAACCAAGGAGGGATATATTTATTAGGGTTCTCCAGAGATATAGAACCAATAAGACATGTGTGTGGGTTACACACACATACACACACGTACACATATGTATACACACACACACACACATTCCTGTAGGTGTTCAGTGAAAACAGAGGGCAGGAAAGAAGAAAGAAGGGAGAGAGGAAAGAGTCAAAGAAACACATGGCTCTTGGTGGGTTCACAGTCTTATTGACATGTCTTGGGAGAAGGAAACTATCTTAATGGCATATGCACATGCACACATGCATGCACACACACACACATACACATACAAACACACACACACACACCCCTTTTGTCCCACCATCTCTTTCCCTTATATATTCCTGGTAACAATTCTATTATACAGATTATATATGTGTATATATACACACACTACACACACACACACATACATTATATATATACACATGACATATATACACACATATGTGTGTGTGTATATATATAATGTGTGTGTATATGTATGTGTGTGTATGTGTGTGTGTGTGTGTGTATATATATATATTTGCTATAAAGAACTGGGTCATGAAATTATGAAGATTGGCAAGTTCCAGGATCTGCAGTCAGCAAGCCGGAGTTCCAAGAGAGTGAATGGTGTAGTTTATTTTGTTTGTTTATTTAGAGGAATCATGACACCTAATTTTGATAACTACTGTAAAGTTACTATAATCAAGACAGTGTGGTATTGACAAATATATATACATTTAGATCAATAGAGCAGAGTAGAGAGTTCTACCCACGCAAATATGGTCAATTGATTTTGAACTAAGATGCAAAGGCAATTCAATGAAGAAAAAATTCTCTTTCAACAGATGGTGCTGGAACAATTGGACTTCACCTAAATCAAATCATATAGCATGTGCTCTTCTGGGTCTGATTGCTTCTTTAACATATTGTTTTTTAGATTTATCCACATTGTTGCCTGTGTCAGAACTTTATTCCTTTTCAGTCTTCTTTAGCATTCCATTGCTCATAATACACTGTAATTTATCAGTTCACCTATTTGAATTATTTTCAGTTTTTGGCTTTTCTGGAAAAATATGCTACCAACATTCTTGAACAAGTCTTTTTTGTGAATATATGTTTTGATTTCATTGAATAAGTAGCCAGGAATATAATTGCAGGATCAAGTATATAAACTTCCAGTTTTCCAAGGTGTTAGTATCACTTTATAACTCCTCCCAGTTGTGTCCAGTTTCTCCATACCTTTTTCAATACTGGATGTTGTCAGTCCTTTTGATTTTTGTCACTCCAGTAAGTGTTCAGTAGTATTTCATTATGGCTTTAATTTGCATTTCCCCAACAAGTAATGGTGTTCAACACCTTTTCATGAGTTTATTGGACATTCAAATATCTTCACTGGATCATCTCTTTGTCATGCACTTATATGAGTCCTTCATATATTTTGGATATAAATCATTTGCTAGTTATATTACTATCAATGCTCTCCCCCATCGTTGCCTGCCTTTTCCCTTTCTTAATATCTTTAATTTTTTAAAATTTTAGATTTGGGGGCACATGTGTAGGTTTTGTTACATGGATATATTGCATAATGGTGAGGTTTGGACTGCTAGTGTACTCATCACCCACATAGTAATTGTTGTCCCCAACAGGTAATTCTTTCACCTTCACCATTCTCCTACTCTCCCAGCTTTTGGAGTCCCCAGTGTCTATTATTTTCATCTTTATAGCTGTATGTATCCATTGTTTAGCTCGCATTTGTACATGAGAACATGTGGTATTTGACTTTCTGTTTCTGAATTATTTCACTTAGGATGGTGGCCTCCAGCTCCATCCATGTTGCTTCAAAGGACATGATTTCTTTTTTTATGGCTGCATAGTATTTTGTGGTGTATAGATACCACATTTTCTTAATCCAGTCAGCCACCGATGGACACTTAGGCTGATTCCATGACTTTGCAATTGTGAATTGTGCTGTGATAAAAATACAAGTACATGTGTCTTTTTGAAACAATGATTTCTTTTCTTTTGGGTAGATGCACAGTAGTGGCATTGCTAGGTCAGATGGTAGTTGTATTTTTAGTTCTTTGAGAAATCTCCATACTGTTTTTCATAGATGTTATACTAACCTACATTTCCATCAACATGTATAAGAGATCCCTTTTCTTTACATCCACACTAATATCTGTTATTGTTTTACTTTTTAGTGATAGCCATTCTGACTGGCATAAGATGACATCTCAGTGTGGTTTTAATCTGCATTTCTCTGATTATTAGTGATGTTGACATTTTTTCATATGTTTGTTGGCCACTAGTATGTCTTCTTTTGAGAAATGTCTGTTCACATCATTTGTCCAGTTTTTAATGGGATTGTTTATTTGTTTTTCTTGTTGACTTGTTTGAGTTCATTGTAGATTCTGGATATCAGTCCTTTGTCAGAGACATCATTTGTAAATATTTTCTCTCATTCTGTAGCTTATTCATTTACTCTGTTATTTCTTGAGGTGTGTAGAAACTTTAACATTTGTTAAGTCCCCTAATGGCGTAGCTCTAATCTGAGTCCAAAGGCCTGAGAACTAGGAGAGCCAATGGTTCTCAGTCCAAAGGCCTGAGGACTAGATAGGGCCAACTGTAGTTTCAGTCCAAAGGTTGACAGGCTCAAGACCTAGAAAGAGCTGATATTTCGGTTGGAGTTTGAAGGCAGGGAAAAATCTGGTGTCCCAGTTCAAAAGAAGTGAGGTAAGAGGAGTTCTCTCTTATTCAGGGAATAATATCCTCTTATTTAGCCTTTTGTTCTATTCAGACTTTCAACTGATTGGATGAGGCCCACCCACATTATGGAGGGCGATCTACTTTACTCAGCAGTAAAGCAGAGTTTAACATTTGTCAATTTAAATGTTAAAATCATCCAAAAATGCCCTCCCAGAAACACCCAAAATAATGTTTGATCCAATATTTGGGTACCCCAGGCCCAGTCAAGTTGACACATACACTTAACGATCACAAGGAGTGATGATGCCTCTACATTCTACCAGTCTCTGTCTCTGGGGAACCCAAATTCAGTTCAGATCTTGAAAAGTTAAATTAGAGTGTTTGCTAAGGAAGTCTCAGGGCCCAGAAGGTACTCAGAACTATAGCACTGGCATCAAAAGAACCTGAGGATAAAAAATAGAAAATCCAGAGAAAAGACCTTATCTTCAGTCTATGTGATTTCTTGTTTCACTTTTTTCACCTGTAACGTAGAAATAATAATTGTGCTTACTTAGAAGGGAAGTTAGGAAGGTTGAATTAGATAATCAGCATGAAAGCACACAGCACAATGCAGAAAGCAGCAGAATGGCTTTGTGTGGCTACTTGAGGGTAAACTATGGTTGGAGAGCAGAGTTAGAGAGGGCCCATTTTACGCTCAATAGAAGAACCACTTGAACCAAGAGTGGGGTTATCAGCTTTCTTAGGTGGCAAGATCCCCATCACTGGATGTGTGTGAACAAAAGCTGGATCACCTATTGGCAAGAATACTTTAAAGAGAACAGAAACACCATACATTGGTAGATGGGCTAAAGCCTATTAAAAGTCTTGCAAAGAACTCCTTATAAATAAAAGTTATTCTCCTTCTAGAGCTTGTTTTTCCTCCAATGTCAAATGCAAACACTTGACTAGATTTCTAGGGGCTCTTGTAAGTCTAGCGTTCCTTGGTTCACAATTTGCCACTTTCGCCAGAACTACTGCTGCAGTCCCCAGATTGGCCTCTCTACCTTCAACCTGTTTCTGTATCCCCTACAGATCCACCCCTTAAATCCATTCCCAAGTCCATGCTGAAGCCAGAGAGACCTTCTTGGCATATAATACTTCCTGATCCTGCTTCACACTCTTGATGGTTCCTAATTGCCCTCAGGATAAATGCCAACCTCACCAGCCTTTCTCAGAGAAGGGCTGCTTTAAACTGGCATTCAAGGCTCTTTAAAATCTAGACTAATGACCCCTTTTATTACTCCTTGTCATGCACCCAACATTTTAGCCACAGTCAAGTGCTGGTTATTCCCCAAAACATAACAGATTCTTTCATACTTCCATACTTTTCTGTCCTGTTTTAGTTTTCCAGAATGCTCTATCTGCTTATCTGCTTCCTGATCCTTCAAAATCTATTTTGAATATCGCCATCTCTAGGCAGCTCTCACTGATCACCCAGGCTGGTTTAGGAGAAAACTCTCTGTATCAACCTTTTTCGCACAGCAGCAGAATTGTCCTTCCTCAATATTTCATGAAGCTTTGAGGCCAAAGACAAGCATTGAGTCCATTGTGTATATTTTAATACTTGTTTCCTAACTGAATGAAAATATATTTCCATGATGCAGACTAGCATTCTCACTCCAGGATGAGGAATACAGTGAGTTTGTGAGGTCACCATTATGATAAATCATTTCCTTTGCTTGCCAGTCAATATATGTTTATTCAAGAAAAACATAAGAAAAAATAGACTTAAAATGCTCAAAGACCTATCACCTTGCTATACTGATGTATTTCTTTCCAGGGTTTTTTTTTTTTTTTGGCATGCGTATTTTAAAGAAGATGTCAAATACCTAATTTTGTTCTTATTCTTTTTTCTCTTAATAGTACAGCATTAAAATTTTCCATGTTAATATGTAGTTTTTCATAGCCATTGTTTTTAACAACTAGATAATATTCCATCAATTAAATAAGTAAGTAAATAACTTTTTGGTTGAACATTTAAGTGCATATTTTTTCACCACTATAAAAAATTCAGTGACAGGCATCTTTGTGGATGAAGCATTTCTTTGTGTTTAGGATTTGTTTCTGAGGATCAGTGTCTGTGGTTGTTTTTATCTTGTGAAAATCAGGGCCTTTATCTAGCATCTGCCTGTGTTTTCTCCCCCAAACCTCCCAGACCAAAAAAAACAAAAACTGACATCAGTGCCCTAAGAGTCACTTAATGCAGTGTTTCATGTATGGGTCCCAATTAAGGCAACGTGCCCCTTTTCAAATATGGCCATAAATATTTTCCTTCAGTGAAGTAGATGCCAAGGAGATAATATTGATTGCAAATTACAGCCTTTGTAATTAACCAATTTACGCAGCTGGAAGATGGAGCTAGTGAAATCATTTGCTTCTGAAGGAGAATGTGGCCTCCCCAAATCTGACTATCAGATATGAGTTTGGCCTAATCCCGGGAATGCTTCTGGTGAGACTGAAGACTAGTCACTGAGGCTCTGGACAAACTGGATTGTATTAAGCCTTTTGCCTGCTGACTACACAGCCTCCACCACTCACCCAAAATGGATCTGCATCTGCAAGCACACAAAAACACACACTGGGAAGGGATATGAGCTGAGTTTAGCCCTAGGTGCTGCACTCACTGTTCAGGACGTGGAGGAGGGAGGCCCAGGCAGCAGCACCAGACTGGGCTTCCAGTTCTACAGCTACTGTGCGAGCTGGCTCCAGACAGATGGGGGCAGCAAAGAGCCAGCCTGGTCAGCTGGGATTCTAGTTGACCAAAGCTGTTGGGAGAACTCAAGCTCATCAGTGTGGCAAGTTGATCTTGATACTGTGACAACTTGGTCTGGACACATGCATAGATGGAATAGGGGTCTAGAAACAGAATACTACTACTCCCGTGATAAAGAATCTTTAGGGGCAGGAAATAGCAGCATTCAAAATGTCATACGTGGGTAGAGGAGTGGGCAGTTGTCTCTGACTTTCATAAAACTCTTGGGCAAATGCCCCTCCTCATCTTTATTTCCAATTTTTCTTATTTGTGTTCAATCTATTGTCAAATATTTGCAATTCCTAGAATGGACTAATTTCTATTTCATTTCCAGGCTTTTGCACATGTTGGTCCCTCAGCGTTGAATGACTTCCTTCACCCTCATTGGTCTAGTTAATTCCTATTCATCCTGACCACCTTTGAGGGTATTCTCTGAGCCCCTCCTTGCCTAAACAGATGTAGGTATATTTTCTGTGCTTTCACAGTGGTTTGCACAAACCTCTATCATAGTGTGTATCATATTACTGCACATATACTGCATACATCTTTCATTAGATTGTGGATGCTTTACAGACAGAACCATATCTTATTCACATCTCTTCTGGGCACATAGTTGGTGCTCAAACATTTGCTGAATGAATGAATGTATGCATGAAGAAGCATCTTTCAAGATTCTTACAAGAGTTCTGAGGGTACTAGAGATTTCATGCTATTGATTATAGGGACTAGTTACCATAATCTTTGAGGGAAATGAGAGCTGACCCTTAAACCTGAGGTTTTACAGACCGGCATTTCCTTCCTCTCTTTAGAAACATGATCAGTTTCTTGCCTTTGTAGTCATCTGGTTAAAAGATATTCCAAATTCTTATTATACCTCATGAAACATATACCTATTTCTTATCTTATTCCTACAAATGCCTGAATGTAGAGGCCAGGTCCCACAACAGTTGTGTTTGAGTTACTTTTAGATTGACTTGGCAAAGCAAAATCTGGCTGTTAAGCCATAAAAGGATGATCTCAGATATGATCAAGGGACTTCAGATCGTAACTGCCCATCCAAAAAGTGACAATGTAACTATTTCAAAGGTTACCTTTAGTGCTCAACTTGTACACAACCTTCTCCCCACCCAACCACTGCTAATCTGAGGTAAGCATTTAACTGTAATTCTATATAGCAAAATCCATAATCAATAGAACTGGCCAGATCTCTTGCTAGCTCTCTGTCTCTGTCTCTGTCTCTGTCTCTGTCTCTGTCTCTCTCTCTCTCTCTCTCTCTACACATACACACACACACACACCCCAGTTCCTCAATGAGTGGCCAAAATCTGCCCATGTTTTATTTAGTTTGAGCAGCTAATGCTAGAACAAAGGTAATGAATTATATTAATTACATTAGAGATATTTTAGAGAACTAAGATTTGCTTTCAGAAACAGAGAGCACATCTGACTGAGCTGAGTTGATAGCAACATGCAGATAATTAACAGCTAATAACATTAGCGTCATAATTAGAACTATCTTGATCTCTTAACCCATCTGCCTTTCTGATTTTGAGATCCATACAGTGAAGAACAAGATGACTTTTCTTTTTTTTCTTTCTCTATCTTGATTTGCCTGTATGCCTATAATAGATCTTTCCCAAATACATATTACTAACTGCTATCATTCACTTTCTTCCTAGTGTGTGCCAGGTGCTCTATAGATACTGAGTATATGAAGAATATATTACACACTCAACCCTTGAGGGATTAAATATAGTTTACTTCTTCAAAGAACTTACCTGGTAGGAATTATGACACCTATTTTTATAGATGAGGAAACTGAATGAAATCACTTGTTGAAAACCACTGAGCTGGTTAACTAAGTACAGATTCAAAATTAGTTCTACTGACTCCTGTTCTTTCCAGCATGCCACGGTGCTCTACAAATGGCCATTATTGCTATTACTTTGATAATAGCAATTGGTATTGCTACTTCTGGTTGCCAACCAACTAATTGCTGGTTGACTTTCTGGTATTCAACTCACTCTTCTGTTCAACAGTGAAGGAAAACATGAAAGGGAAAATGTAATGAACATGAGGTCAAGTACTCTACCTAGTTGTTTGAAAAATTCACCAGTATTGTTAAAACAATCAGTCCCTGGAGTCCCAAGAAGAGATGAGCAAATGATCTGAACAGAAATTTCTCAAAATACAAACAAATGACCAAAAAATATATGGAAAATGCTGAACATCATTAATCATCAAGGAAATGCAAAGGAAAACCACAATGAGGTATTATCTTACCTATAAGGATGGCTATTATTGAAAAGACAAAAATAATAAATGCTGGCAAGGATGTGGAGAAAAGGAAACGCTTATACACTGTTGATGGGAATGTAAACTAGCACAGCTCTGTGGAGAACAATATGGAGGTTCCTCAAAAAAGTACAAATAGAACTACTATATGCTCCAGCAATCCCGCTACTGGGCATTTATCAAAAGGAAAGGAAATCAGTATATAAAAAAGGCATCTGTACCACCATATTTATTGCAGAACTGTTAACAACAGCAAAGATATAGACTTGATCAAGGTATCCAGCAACAGATGAATGGGTAAACTGTGGTGTATATACACAATGGAATGCTATTCAATCATTAAAAAGACTGATATCCTGTCATTTATGGCAACATGGAATAAGCTGGAGGACACTCTGTAAAGTGAAATAAGCCAGGAATAGAAAGTTAAACAGCACATGTTCTCACTCATATGTGGATGCTAAAAAAAAAAAAAAAATGATTGGATCTCATAAGGAGAGAGTTGCTAAAGGATACAAAATTACAGGTAGATAGGAGGAATAAGTTCTAGTGTCTATGTAACTGTAAGATGACTGTTGTTAACAATAATAATTATATAGTTTCAGCTAGAAATATAATATTGAACGTTCTCGGCACAAAGAAATGTGTTGAGATGATAGATATGCTAATTACCTTGATCTGATCACTATATATTATATGTATATCAAAATATCACTGTTTCCCATAAATATGGACAATTATTACATGTCAATTAAAAATTATTTTTAAAAAGTAGCAAAGGAGCAGAACTCAGTGATGGGAAAATCAAGCAGGAAGTTCTTAAATGTTCATATTAGCAAGTAAATGGCACCAGTGAGGTTTGAACTCTTGGCTTAGGATCAAGAGAAGAGCAAAGAGATTCAAGGTCCCAAGGAGGAGGTTGACAGGGATCTGGGGGACAGTCAGTCTCTGGCTAAACCTAATAGACAGCAATATCACTAAAGGTGTTGCTGAAATAACCTCATGACATTTTGCCAGGGGACTCAAAAATACCCATATCTAACCTCACCTCAGCCAATTTTCCCTGGCAGCTCCTTGAGGCAAATATATTCACAAGAGAGGATAAGTTAGTTATTATTATTATTATCTAGGATTTTGGCTCCAAATCCCAGTGCATAACATGACTGAGCTAAGCTGAACTAAAATGAAGGTCCTTTTCTCCCAAGCTAGTGAGGCTCAAATGGTCTAGAAACAATACAGCTCCTCAGTCCTCTCTTGTTTTCCCCCAGTGCCCTCTCCTAAGCCTTAATTTGAAGAAAAAAAGAAACTACCCAAAATGTCTCCATCAGAGCCAGAGAAAGGGAACAGAGAAGTCTACCCAGGAAGGGTAGTAAGTCTAGCACTAGGACCTACCTTACCCAATTTTGCTCCATCATCAGCTATTGTTTTCCACCAAGACTTCAAGGAAGGGAAATATACAAAATCTGACCCATGAGAAGCAAAGCAAAACCTTATTGTTAGCTGGAAACTTGAGCTCAAACCCTAGTGCAGAGAGCCCTGGTGGCCACGTTGTAGACATGATAAAGAATAAATGAGACAATACATGAAGTTTCTATCATCAAGCCTCGACTCCCTTTAGATGAGGTCAGCCTCCTCCTGGAAGCCTAGGATCACTTCTCTCATCTCTTGAACCTCAGCCAAGAGTCCAGATCTCCCTAATGCCATGTGCTTACAAATCTGGACATCTAAGAACAACTGCTTGATTTTCTCATTGCTTATTTCTGCTCATGAACTGAAGTTTTTGTTCTGTTTTTCTCCCAGTTCATCTCGCAAGCCTGCCTGTATTTCTCTAAAACGATATAACACTGTCTCTTCTTCATATATTGCATTCATTTTTTCCCTCAGCAGACATTACTGTCTTTTAGAAACTTCCTAATCCACTCCCTCTGGGTACCTCACTTTGCCTCCAGTCTGGTTTAGGTGTCTCTTCTGTGCTTCAGCAGCCTCCTTGGCTTCTGTCTCGCAAAGCACTTATCACTCCATATTATTTTTTAGTTTACTCTAATGTTTCTCTCCCAGAAATGAAATCCTTAAAGGCTGGGAATGTATCTGATTCATTGCTGTTTCTCCAGAGTTTAGCCCAGGATTTGGCACAGAACAGACTCTAGAGAGTATTTGATGAATAAATAACTTAAGAAATTACTGAGTTTGTCTAGACCAGTGCAGTGTTATCCCGGAGCAGGCAGGGGAAATAGGAATATCTGATCCAGAGTCCTTGTGAATTAAGAACCTCCTAATCTGCTTCCTCCTTCTGTTCTTCATGACCATAGCCCTCAAAATGACTATTCATATACAATCATACTCATCCTCTCCCCCATCATGCAGCATGAATTCCCTTTGCTAAGACTCCAGATACTCTGAATCCAGCTTTGTAGTTTTCACTGGACAAACTTCAGTCTTGAGAAATGCCCCTCTTGGCCTGATTCACTCCCTGGGAACTTCTATCCATTTTGATGCCCTCAAAGGCAATTCCCCACCTGTAAGATCCCAGCCACACAGCACACCCACACTTATTATCTGTCTCAGCTTCAGGTAGTGGCCTCTCGTCATGTTTCCTGGATATGCTGCCCTGACTTCTGGACAGACCTTCCCGAGTTTGCCTTTCTTCCTGAACTTCCAAGTTATCTCTCACAGTTACCCAATCCCTGTGTAAGACCTTGCTGAATGGTTCCTTATCTTTCATCTCAGACCCTCTTGATGCCTGCGTCTTTGGCTGTAATCAGAAATAGCCATGCCCTGGACATTGCTGTGTCAACCCCTCTAGCAGGAGGCTCTAAAATCAGATCCCACCCATTCCCTAAATGCCCTATCTGATACAACATAACATGCTCTTCCTAGATACGCCCCCAAAAGTCAATCTAATGGAGAGGGTTGAACCTCACAGAAACCAGAGTGGGCAGGACAGGGTAGAATCAAGAAGACACACATAACTAGGAACCAGGGATCCCAGAATAGAAATCAGAGAAGAAGGGGACTTAAAAAATACTAGATGAAATTTTAGATCAAATTTTCAAGAGCAGCAAGTTGTTCATTTAGTTTGAAATAAACCTAGAAAGGTAAAGAATCAGATCTCTTGGACCCGAAATATCAGACCAGAACATTTGGATTTGAAACCATTAAAAATAGGACGCCACTGTAAATGCTTTAACAAAGCTGTCCAGGAACATGCAGAAGGCACAAAACTGGGATTCAGGAGGCTTGAGCCTGAGATTCTGGCTTTATCACTAGATGTCTATGTGACTGTGGGCAGTTCTCCTCCCCAGTCTGCCCCAGATAAACGATGTACCAATGTTGAATGGTCTTAGTGGTTCTTCCAGGCTCTCAGACTCCACGACACATATGCGTTTGACCTGAAGAATTTGAGTTTCTCTCTGTCTAGCATCCACCCCCTCTACCCACTACCTCATACTCCCAATCTGCTAAGAATCAGAGCTCCAGAGGAACACCTATTGTGTCCCATCTGTTGGCGACATAGCCAGAGAGAGGAATGCTCTGCCACATGTGCTCTTGTTTATTCCTGATATTTTCCAGAGAACCAGGGATGGGGGAAAAGGGGCGGGAGGAAGAGGCCTCCATGCAGGATCAGTTGCAAGTATTGTTGTCCCACTCCATGTGTAGACACTGGACAAGCACAGCAGACAATCAGCATGTGGGAAAACCTGTGCCTTTTACCAACTAGCATCCTCCAAAGGTCAAATTTGAGACTTGGAATTTAAAAAGGAAACAAATAAAATGAACAAGCAAGCAGCTCCAAACTGGTTGCCTTGGACACCATTAGAAGGCTACATCCCTGACCTTTGTGCCAGTCAGAATAGGCTGGGCTAGGCTGTTGGTACAAAAAAACTCCAAAATCTTAGTAGCTCATTTATTTGAACATCACAGTAAAGTTCATTTATTTGTTGAACACTAACAAATTTTGCCAAAGCTGAAATTTTTAATAAAAGAAGAATAGTTTCCATTTACTGAGTACCTATTTATGCCCAGGACTATGCTATACACTTTGCATAAATCAGCCCCTTTTTACACATGAAGAAGTTGAGATTCAGATTGATGAAGCGATTTGACTGAAGTTATACATCTAAAAACTGGTAGACTGGGATTGAAACCCAAGATGATCTAGGCCTGAGGGTGTGCTCTTTCCTTACTCCACACTGCCTGTGAAGGGGACCTTGAAGTGACTCAATCCCTTATCCACTTCAATCAGGCACATCTTGCATGGAAGCGGGTAAGGAAAAGAAATCCTCGGACAAATGGCTTAGGGAATATATTTTTACATAAATAATTTGCATTGTTCTTTCAGCTTGCCCACTGTCAACAGTGGAGACTACTCAGTGCCCAACCCTCTATTGTGGACTTGACTCCCCAAATCAGAAGCACCTCAAGCACAGGAGCTGTGTGTCCCCAGCAGTCAGCCTCACATTCAGGAGAGTTCTCAGAGCATGTTTATTAGTTAATGATTGGTTGAATGAATGAGTGAATGCGCAGTTTCATTCATTCTTAACAGACTTTTGAGGAATCTTATGATGTATGGTTGAAATCAGACCACAGAATTTTGGAGGGAAAAATCTGCTTTATAGCTCCTTAGATTTCCTGCACTTACTGTAGGGCAGTCATTAGCTCTTATGCCACCCTAAATGCCTGAAGAGGTGGACCCTATTCCTCATGCACCCAGAATAAAGCTGAGAAGGAATGAGGAAGTAAATCTGAGGAATATTTGAGACAACGAAACAAAGGGACTTACTTACCAACAGGGCGTCAGAAGTAAGGGAAGAAATACACAAAAAAGCATAGGGGTACCTATCTTCGGAAAGTACCTCAGACCACTAGGAGTGATTTAGAGTTTAAGCAGAGTGTGTTACTGATGTTTCCCCAGACCTGGAGAAGTGGAACCCCAGACTGCGGGTACAAATGAGGTTCCACTTGTAATAATCACATGTGACTTGCTGCCTCATTCCTCTATCTGTTCCTGCAGGACTCTAGTCTTCCTCAAAGTCTCATTAGTTATTTCTAGATGTCTCCAAGAGGCATTGTATGTGAGCTCAGAAAGGATGCTATCCACTTCTACGTGATGTCTACCATGTTGCTTCCTTCTTGTTCAGCCCATCCTGTGAGGTTTTCTGCTTCTTGCATTTGAGAGTGCCCCATCCTAGTCAGGGCTCTCACTGTCCAGCAGGAGAAATCCCATGGTCTAGCCAAGAATGCTGCCTGTTTATAATATTAAGCTGTCAGAACAAGAATTACTATCACAACCAGTTACACCTTTTTTCAATCTATAAATGGGACAAATGTTCATCTCTGTCACTCTGTATTCACAGCTCTGTGGTCTTTCTTGGAAATAGCTTCTACCTGCAATTCCTTTCTCCCTGGTGCTCAAACAGGGACCCATAGAGCTGCTTCAGGAAACTAATCTCAGGGGCAGACACCATATTTTTACTTTCCTCCTTCCCTAAAGTAGGGCTAGTGCACCTCCCTGCTGTGCTAATTTCAGCCCCCATGGATCTTCATGTGAACAAAACTCTGAAAGAAGTCTGCCCCAACAGTCCTCCATAGCTTAGTCTAAAGCTAGAACCCCTCTTCTGGAGGATGAATACAGTGATCTCTGTTTCTCATTCTGGTATCTTATAAAAACATGTCTTAACATTTTTCTCTAGATGCATTTATTAAACACTTGCTGTGCTCCAGATATCAGGTTGGGCACAGTGACTCACGCCTGTAATCCTAGCACTTTGGGAGGCCGACATGGGCAGATCACCTGATTTCAGGAGTTCGAGACCAGCCTGACCAATATGGAGAAACCCCGTCTCTACTAAAAATACAAAATTAGCCAGGTGTGGTGGCACATGCCATAATCCCAGCTACTCGGGAGGCTGAGAGAGGAGAATCACTTTAACCAGGAAGTGGAGGTTGCAGTGAGCCAAGGTGGCACCACTGCACTCCAGCCTGGGCAACAAGAGCGAAACTCCATGTCAAAAAAACAAGAAAAAGCTTTCTGTGCAGCCCCTCACTTAGTCCTCACCTCATCTCTATGGTCTAGGTATCATTAGCCCTTCTATGGCTCCAGGGAGGGAAGTGCCTACCCAAGGCCAGCCGGCTCTGGCACATTCACTTGAGTCTTAGCCTTTGTTTTGACTCTCTGGCCATGGCCTCTCTTTGGAGTCTGTTTCTTGCCCTTTGTGATTACCAGACTCAGCACTTACTCTTTCTTTTCCTTTCAGGGCTTACACATTAGATCTGACAGCCAGCATATCTTTCCAGCTGTGATCTCAGGCTCTCTGGGCAAAAATTTGGTTTTCTCTTCTCTCTGGTTCATATATAGCTTGGGCCTCCTTTCACTTGGGACTCTCCAAATTTGGCCCTGCCTCATAAGGGACATTTAACTGAGCCTGACTTTACCAGAGCCCTAGAAGTTAGGTCTGACAACTTCTTTGTATTTCTACGTGGCCTTGGGAAGAATCTTAACATCTTTGTGCCTCAGTTTAGTTGACCAAAAAGCAATACTAATATCTACCTTGCAGGTTTACTGTGGGAAATAATGAGACAGACTGTTTAAAGTGCCTCTAATGATGCCTGAAACAGTAACTGTATAGTAAACAAAGTGCTATGAAAGAGTAATCTTCCTGTCAATTGTATCTGGTAAGCAGCAAATACCATTATCATTCCATTTTATAGATGTGGAAACTGATATCAAAAATAGGTTAAAAGACTTACCCCAGGTCCCAGACCTTGAAAATGGCAGATCTCAAATATGAAGCAGATCCTGGTATTTAATGACTCACTGTCTTATACTGCTTGGCACAAAGCAGACCCTCTACAAATAGGGTTATGCGTTGCTCCTAAATGAATATATTAATGAAGAAATGTTCCTTCTCTTCCCTTTGTGTCATTGCCTCAGATACCAGTGCTCTATCCCAAGACTTGCCCACTGATTTTCTGTGTCCAGAGGAGATTAAGATGTTGCAGTTTTCTTTACCCCTAAAAGCCCTGCCCAGCCCAGTCTCTGGCTGAGTTCCTTGGCCCAGAACAATACAGGGAGAAATTCTTTCATAACTTGGGGGTTACCAATGGAGCACTCCTGCTGAGGCAGGCCTCTTGCCAAGCAACTTCCACTGCCCATCTTATATGCAGATGTGTGCAACAATCCTGCACATCTGCATGGGGAACATTCAAAAGCTATAAATTGCCTGGAAAAAAGGAAAATATGAGTGTCAGCTCTATAGGAATGGATGCTTCTGAGGGGCCAAGCAGAGGAGGAGAGCAGATCACACACTGAGAATAGTTGGCCCAAAGCAGACTGGGGATGGAGAAACAACACTACACCCCTACTTTCACCTCTCATAGGGAGGCTCATGCAATTTCAGAAGTGTGGATACCACTGTCTAATTCGAGTTATTTCTCTACCAATGTCCCCATCTCCCTGAGCCACAATGTCCTTGAGCCTTTCAGTTTTGTTCTTAATTTGCATCACCTCAGTCTGTTAGAAGAAAAGCAAAGCATGGCAGCAGACCCAACGGTAAGAACCCTGGACTAGGACTGAGACATCTTTCTTCAAATGCGTTCATATAACTAACAAGTACAGAGCGTCCATGCTTGTGCCAGGCGCAGAGGGACAGAGATGATTCCATCACAGTCAGGATGCTCAAGAAGGCGCCACAGTCTAATGGGGCAGACGGGCAAAGAAATGAACAACTTCGAAGAAAGCACAGAAAACTTCTGGGAGTGCAGAGTTGGTTAAGGTAAAAGGCATATCACAGAATGCTTCCTAGAGGAGGTAACATCTGAGTGAATCTTGAAGAGATATGGCAAGTACCCAAGGGAAGAACTTATGCATACTAACACCACTGAAGCACTGTTGGATATATGAGAGTAGATGCTCATTCACAACCACTGATATTTCCACACACATATACACACACAAACATATGGGCACACATACACACCTTTGGAGGCAGGTGTAATACTGGTTGGGAATAGTTCATATGGTAACCCTTGCTGTTCATCTTGCCACAATCCAAATGTCTCCCTTCCCCAGTGGTGCTGTTCCATGAAAAGCCTTGGCAAGTTTCCTCAGAATCAGCTACTTTGCCACTGTTACTTTAAAAGCTTCTTTTTCTCCTACCAAATGGCAAAGGAAGCCAGAGAAAAATGAATTCACCAGGGCATCTTGAGCTGGCTTTTGCTCTTTGTGTCCCCCAGGCTAATCCCTCAAGAATCTTGGCTAGAACAAAGAAAGAGCAGGCTTATGGTTGAAGGGAGTAGTGGTTCAGTGTAAGGAAAAGGCTGACTGTGAAGGGATAGGTCATTGCCTTTGATTCCTGCAGGAGTATCTGAGGGCAGAAGAAACAAGGCAGAACAACGATCAGCGTAGGGGCACTAGAGGTAGGGATTTTGCTCTATGTGAATGGCTATTTCCTCAAGTCAAAGCTGCCTACCAGTGGGATTAGCAGCTTTAAAAAGTGGTAAGCACTCTGTCCCTGCTGAAGTGTGAGGGGAACAGACCACTGCTTATGGGATGAGGAAGATGTAGCTGGTTGTCAAACACCAGAGGAGAGGTCACATCTCTTTGCCCTGTTCTGCCGTCTTCACATGGGAATTGACTTAGTACCGAGCAAATATTCAGGCCTCTAAGAGTCTAAGGATTTGCATTTCCAAGGTTATGGAGAAAGGCATGTAGTAAATGTGTATTTAGGCATCCCAGATGCGAAAGGTGTGATTATTTTCAGAACCTAATCTCATACCTTCCCATCCTTGCTGAACTGAATATTGCAAATATATTCTCATTTGTATTTGGAATGGTGTGTTTCTAAGCAATCATCATTCTGAATACTCATCCCAAACAGGAGATGACCTGAATATTTAATAGAATAAAAATGTATATATTAGATTACTTATTCAAATGCCTATCTGGCAGTTTGGATAGAATTAAGCAATAGTCCAATCTGCCTGTTGTTTTATGCATAGGATGTCAAAGCTCGTATTCTTTCCCTGCACAGAACCATGTCTTGTCCTGTTCACAGATGGGGAAACAGACTGAGAAGGGGGCATAGAGTGTGAGATAGGAGACCCAGGAACAGTGCTACCATTTGGTGGCTAGGCAAGGTAATAGTATTGCTCTTGGACAAAGGAAGCAACTGAGGTTCGGTGTGGTTAAGTAACTTTTGCAGAGTCACATAGCTGGTAAATCACAGAGTTGTCTCCATCCCAGGCTATTATTCTCTTGCACTACCTCACTGAGCCCCTAATATAGCCCGAGAGTGTGTTTCTCTCCTTTCATGCCACCTTCAGATGCTCTGGCAGTACTTCGACTATGAAATCTTGGGAAGTGATGTTATTATCCCTGTTCTATCGTTGGGAAAATCCCCATGAGATATGGAACTACATTTTAGATTCCCCAGACCAGGGATTCTACCGCACAGCTATTGTACCTTGCAAGCTCTAAATGCCCCACAACATCAAGCAAGAGCACATTATTCTGTTCTGCCATTACAATAACAAAAGGCAATAACCCAAATTTGCCTTTTGAAATGAACCCAACATTCCTTTTGAAGGAAAACCTTCCCTCAGAAGCTTGGTTAGAAGTCATTTCTAAGAAAACTTCCCTGTGTGCTCCCTACTCCAGACCCCAAAGTGCTTCTCACATAGTATCGTCATTGTATAGGGGATATTCTCCCCACTAAATCATGAGTACTTTGAGTCCAATAACCACCTCCGACTGTTTTGTGTATCTCCAGCATGGTATCTGGTACCCAGCAGGTTTCTGAGATTTGCCGAAAAAATGAATAGATATTTGAGTAGCATCACTGCCAGGTGATATAATAAGAGTATGTGGTAGGAACTCAAGGGGAAGGGACTTTTCTCCCCCTTCCAACCAATCTCTGGCCATCAAAGAGAATATGGCAAGCCCTGAAAGTTAACATGGTGCTTCCATCCCCAGCAAACAGTAACTGAAATGTAGGACAAAGTCTCTGAGCTTCCCGTGATTTTGCCATTTCTGTGGAAGAAGAAAACACCATCTGCAGCACATGTTTCTATTCAGACTTGAACCTCACTTCATCTCACCAGACAATTCTGAAAGCACTTTAGCATTCTTTCCGGTACCATCCTTTTTAGCCTGTCTCTCCAGAATCCTATAGCCCCTACTCCTCCAGGAAGGATTCCCCAGCTCAGTAGCCCACCATGATATCTCCCTTCTAGCTCCTCTTTCTCACCAGATGCACCATTCATTTCTTGTTTATCAGATGCTGCCTCTTATTTGTCAGTTATAGATGGTCAGTGTGGGTGGAGAGATGCAGTGTGGGCCAATGAAGATATCACAAGCTCTGGGCTCAGAGAGACTTGGGTATAAATCCCAACCTGACCAGTGAATAACTGTAGAACCTTAGAACATTTATTTAACCACTCCAAGGCAGTAAAATTGGGAGTAAAACTTCACTCTCAGGATTGTTGGGAGATATGCAGGGACCCTAATAACTGAGGGCATTTTCTCCAAAGCTGGGGAGCACATGCTTTATCTACAGACACCCCTGTAATGGTGTACCTTTTAGAAATAATGCTTTGGTTATTGCACATAGAATGGGTTGGAGAAGAGGCAGTAAAGGAGAGAAACCAGGCAGGAGAATTTGCAGGAATGGTCATGGGTTGGCAGGGTGGAGAGGAGGTGTGGCAGTGTGAAGGTACCGGAAATAGTAGTCTGAACAAAAGAGGTAACAAATAATAATAAGAGCTAGTGTTTGTGAGCTTCTATTCTGGGCCAGGAATTATGCTATCGTGTTTTGGGATTTTGTTTTATCTTGTTATTAATCTAAAATTTTTACTCTCCATTTTATAGATGAGGAAACTGAGATGCTGAGAGGTGAAACAAAGTATCCAAAATGACAAAATGACATACTAAGAAAACTTGGATTCAAGTCTAGGCAATCTCATTTCAGAGCCTGACTGCTTAACCATCAGACTAGCTCACAATTGTAGCAGAGATTGGAGAAAAACCATTTAGATAGTGAAACTGGCAGAACTTGCTAAAATATTGGCAAGAGTGGGTAAGATAGAGGGTAGAGCATAGGATACTGTCACATTTGTCTCACAAGGCCCACAGGCCCAGAGAGGCAGAGCCAGGATTTTAACCCGATTGTGTCTAATGCCAAAGCACTTCCTCTTTTCATAGCCTCAGAAAATTTTACCTCAGACCTTAGTGAGGTAGAAATCTGTACCTTCCCCAGAATTTTATAATTCCTTTGTTTAAACCATTATACCATGACTTTCTTTCCTTAAGACGTTGAAGGTATATATTTCTTTACAAAGGGATTATCAATTACAAAGAAAATTTGACAGGAAAATACATTTGATAGCTTTGCTTCTTTGGTGCCAAAACAAATGCAAAAAAGGACTCCAAGTGCCTTTGGGAATAGCCAGTAGAGGAAGGGCAGAACATCCACTGTAGTCAGAGGGAGACTGGTGTGAGCTTGAGCTCTACATTCATTCGTCCCTTTACCAGGCCTTTCCCAAGGCTCTTCTGAGTGCCAGACTTGGGCTGGACACTGACACTGAAGGACAGTGCTGGATAACGACCCCTGCCTGTAAAGCTCATAACCAAGGTGTAAGATGGACAAATAGGTGGGCCTTCAAGTGCTATTCGAAAGAAGAGGGATGGTGTCCTCTACACAAGAGGAGATGCTATGTTTGTGTCTTGGCATTGGGCAGAAGCCAAGCCATGTGGCCTTGGGCGCATTACTTCACGTAGCTTCCTTGTCTTTACTAGTGGGAACAATCAAGCTTACATTAACCTGTTCTTTACTCTCAGATACTCAAGGACCTATAGTGCTGGGTTAGTACTGAGAATCTGGAGCCTTCACTGTTCCTGGGGTGGATCAGGTTAGGCATGCAGATTGCAAAGCTTGATGCTGAGAGTGGGAGCCAGTGGTCTATGGTGGAGATAAAACAGAGAAATAGAGAAAGCCTAACCCTGGATGCCTCTTGAATGGGCCAGGTAGAAATGTAAGTTCAAGTGTGAAGTGAAAGATTGAAAACAAGACATGAGTCCACAGCATGTATTATAATGGAGGGTGGGGCCAGAGGCAGGACCTAGAGACAGGCTCTGGGTATTACTAGGAGCATAGACATTGGAACCTCTGTGGTACACTCTGGATGGGGAGGGCTTCGTTAAGCATGCTGAGTGGTCCAGCGCTATTAGGAGAATGAAATGACATTATGCATGTGAAGCACCCAGCATACTTCCTAGTACATTCAGTTAACTTTCAATGAATGTTAATCATAGAATTGCTCTCTTTTTACATCAGAGTACACCAAGAGCTTCCAATGTGCTAGGTCCTGTGCTGGATACTGAGAGGAAAGGAATGATTAAGATGTAATTTCTGTCCCCAGAAGCCCAGACTGATGGAGATCCAGACACATAAATAACATGTTCCAATTGAAGGTTCTAAATGACATGATGGGGTAGACATAGAGCTATGGCAGGGTGAAGGGGCACTGTCCTAACCTAATTGTTCCTGGAAGGCTCCCTGGAAGAGATAATGGCTAAGGTTACTGTTGAAGGTTAAGAAAGGGTTAGCCAGGCAAAAATTAGTGAAAAATCCATGCTGGGAATGGGCACAGCTTCAACATACGCGTAGAACAGCATGGTGTGATCAAGAAAATAGAATATAAGGAGAGGCAAGTGATAAGGCTAGAGGGGAGGCAAGGAGACCAGATCTGGAGACAAAGGAGCCTGGCCTCCATCCTGAAACTTTCTATCAACTGATAGGAAGCCAGTGAAGAGTTTTAAGCAGAAAATTAACATGGCTGATTTTGTGCTTTAATTAGGTCACTCTGGCTGGTAGGGGAGAGGATGTTAGAGAGTACCAGCTGGAGGCCAGGGGAAGTTTTTGTTTGATGCTTTGAAAAAAAAAAAAAAAGTCATTATAGAGGCAAGGCTGGATGGGAATAAGGCAGATAGAAGACAGGACTAAAGAATGTGCAGCTCCCAGTCAGAACAGCATGTGGAGACTCATACTGTGAATTTTTGCTCCAAGAAACACTGCAAAAACGTGCAAGGAAGACCAAAAGAGTTCATAGATTCTTTGGAAGAAGCAGCTTGCCATTGCAAACTTCATGAGACAGCCAAGAAACTGCAAGCTTTCAAAGTGTGAGAGGGGAAAACCTGCCTATGAACACACATCCCTACTGGGGAACCTGAAAATCCAGATCACGGGAGAAAGATTCAACCTTACCTACATCTGATATGGATTTAGGGAGTTGAGCAAGATACTAAAGTAGAAGAAGCTATGAGGAAAGCCCTGTAGGCACTCTCATTCCCCAGCTGAAGCCCAGGGAAGCCATCCCTGACTTTATCTCATAGGAGTCCTTGGGGAAGGCAGCCAGAGGAACTAGGGAGGGGTCACAAGATGAAAGAAGATTCCAACTAAGCTTTGTAATAATTTTGACCAGCGGGGCGTGAACAGGAATAGCTGTAGATACAAGTGCAGTATCTTCAACCAATATTGTGGGCAGGTGGGGAGGAGCAAGGCCAGAAAGCCACACTTGCTTTTTCAGTGAGGAAGCTTGTAGCCTGGGGCAAGGTTCAAGCCTTGAATGTGGGCTGCCTGGATATAAATTTGGTGCTGTCAGCGGGGAACAGTGGAGGGAGACTGGTCTTGCTGGGTGTGTGGGAACTGGGTGAGGCCTGTCACTGCCAGCTTTCCCCCAATTTCCCTGGCAACCTGTGTGATGCAACAGAGGCAGCCATAATCCACCTTGGAACCCGTAACTGCATTGACCTGAGAACTACCCTCCTACATCCCCTACAATAGCCACAGTAAGCCACTCGCAAGGAGAGTCTGCGCTCAGACCCACCTAAACCTGCCCAAACCCGATGGTTTTGCTCTACCTGCCCTGGCAGCTGAACTCAAAAGACATCAACTCTTGGGAGCTTTATGGCCCCATGTATCCATTGCCTGAGAAACCTGAATACTTACCTGTCCAACTTAGGGCAAGCTTATATCCTTTTTCTACTACCACAGCTGGTGCTCTCTTGAAAGAGAATGATCTTTGGGTAAACAATGAAATCAAGATGGAAACTAAAAATTCTTTGAACTGAGTGGTAATGGTGATACAAGCCATCAAAACCTCTGGGATACAGCAAAGGTGGTGCTAAGAGGAAAGTTCATAGCATTGAATGCCCACATCAAAAGGTGTGAAATGGCACAAATAGACAATCTAAGCACACACCTCAAGGAACTAGAGAAACAAGAAAAAAAACAAACCTAAAACCAGCAGAATAAAAGAAATAACAAAGATCAGAATGGAACTAAATGAAATTGAAACAAACAAGCAAAAAGGGTAAATGAAACAAAAAGCTGGTTCTTTGAAAATATAAACATACTTGATAGACCATTAGTGAGATTAAGCAAGGAAAGAACAGAGATGGTCCAAATAAGCTCAATTTTAAATGAAATGGGAGATATTACAATGGATATCAGAGAAATACAAAAGATTATTCAAGGATTCTCTGAGTACTTTATGTACAAAACTAGAAAACCTAGATGAGAGGATAAAGTCCTGAAAATGTACAACCCTCCAAAATTAAACCAGGAAGAAACAGAAACTCTGAGCAGATCAATAACAAATGGTGGTATTGAAACAATAATTTTTAAAATTGCCAACAAAAAATGTCCAGGACCAGCTGGATTCACAGCTGAATTGTATCAGAATTCAAAGAAGAATTGCTACCAAACCCACTGAAACTATTCCAAAAGGTATGAAAAGAGGGAATCCTCCCTAAATCATTCTATGAAGCCAGTATTACCTTAATACCAAAACCAGGAAAGGATATAACAAAAAAAGAAAACAATAGACCAATATCTCTGATGAACATAGATGCAAAAATCCTCAAAAAAATACTAGCTAACTTAACCCAACAGCATATCAGAAAGATAATACATCATGGTCAAGTGGGTTTCATACCAGGGAAGTGGGGGATGGTTTAACATGTGCAAGTCAATAAATGTGATACATCACATAAACAGAATTAAAGACAAAAAAAAATGATCATCTCAATAGACACAGAAAAAGCATTTGACAAAATCCAGCATCGCTTTATGATTAAAATCCTCAGAAAAATCAGCATAGAAGGGTCATTTCTCAACATAATAAAAGCCATCTATGACAAACCCACAGCCAACATTTATACTGAACAGGGAAAAGTTGAAAGCATTCCCCCTGAGTACTAGAACAAGACAAGGATACCCACTTTCACTCCTTCTATTCGGCATAGTATTAGAAGTCCCAGCCACGGCAATCAGAAAAGAGAAAGAAATACAAGGCATCCAAATTAGTAAAGAGGGAGTTAAACTGTCACTGTTTACCAGTGATGTGACTGTATACCTAAAAAATGCTGAATACCTTTCCAGAAAGCTCCTAGATCTGATAAATGAATTTACTAAAGTTTCAGGACACAAAATCAATGTACACAAATCAGTAGCACTGCTATACACCAACAATAACCAATCTGAGAATCAAATAAAGAATACAACCCCTTTTACAACAGCTGGAAAAAATAACATAAAATACTTAGGATTATACCTAACCAAGGAGGTAAAAGATCTCTACAAGGAAAACTAGAAAACACTGCTGAAAGAAATCACAGATGAAACAAAGAAAACACAGTTCACGTTAATGGATGGGTAGAATCAATATTGTGAAAATGACCGTGCTGCCAAAAGCAATCTATAAATTCAATGCAATTCCCATCAAAATACCATCATCATTCTTCACAGACCTAGAAAAACGATCCTGAAATTCACATGGAACCAAGAAAGAGCCTGCATAGTCAAAGCAAGACTAAGCAAAAAATAAATCTGGACGCATCACATTACCAGACTTCAAACTATACTACAAAGCTATAGTTACATGGTACAGCATGGTACGGGTCTAAAGATAGGCATATAGACCATTGGAACAGAATAGAAAACCCATAAATAATGCCAAATACAGCCAACTGATCTTTGACAAAGCAAACAAGAACCAAGTGCCTGGGGAAAGGACACCCTATTCAACAAATGGTGCTGGAATAATTGGCAAGCCACATGTAGAAGAATGAAACTGGATCCTCATCTCTTGCCTTATACAAAAATCAACTCAAAATGGATCAAACAGTTAAATCTAAGACCTAAAACCATAAAAAATTCTGGAAGATGACATCAGAAAGACTCTTCTAGACACTGGCTTAGGCAGAGAGTCCATGACCAGGAAAGCAAATGCAACAATAACGAAAGCAATGCAACAAGAGCAAAGACAAATAGATGGGACCTAATGAAACTAAAAGGATTCTACACAGCAAAAGAAATAATCAGCAGAATAAACAAGACAACCCACAGATTGGGAGAAAATCTTCACAAACTGTACATCTGACAGAGGACTAATATCCAGACTCCATAAAGAACTCAAATAAATCAGCAAGATAAAAAAAATCCCCATCAGGCCGGGCGCGGTGGCTCAAGCCTGTAATCCCAGCACTTTGGGAGGCCGAGGTGGGTGGATCACGAGGTCAAGAGATTGAGACCATCCTGGTAAACATGGTAAAACCCCGTCTCTACTAAAATACAAAAAATTAGCTGGGCATGGTGGTGCGTGCCTGTAATCCCAGCTACTCAGGAGGCTGAGGCAGTAGAATTGCCTGAACTCAGGAAGCGGAGGTTGAGGTGAGCCGAGATCGCGCCATTGCACTCCAGCCTGGGTAACAAGAGCGAAACTCCTTCTCAAAAAAAAAAAAAAAAAAATCCCCATCAAAAAGTAGGCTAAGGATGGGAGCTGGAGCCCCATGAGAAAGAGAGGGAGGTTCTCTTAAGAGTTCAGCTGCGAGGCAGTAGCAGAGGAGGAATGATTGTGAATACCCTCTCTCTGTGCTACCATAACAAGCTAATTCTGGCCCCAGTGGTTCGGGTAGGGACTCTTCCAATGCGGCTGCTCGCCCTGGATTATGGAGCGGACATTGTTTACTGTGAGGAGCTGATCGACCTCAAGATGATTCAGTGCAAGAGAGTTGTCAATGAGGTGCTTAGCACAGTGGACTTTGTTGCTCCTGATGATCGAGTTGTCTTCCGCACCTGTGAAAGAGAGCAGAACAGGGTTGTCTTCCAGATGGGGACTTCAGACGCAGAGCGAGCCCTTGCTGTGGCCAGGCTTGTAGAAAATGATGTGGCTGGTATTGATGTCAACATGGGCTGTCCAAAAGAATATTCCACCAAAGGAGGAATGGAAGCTGCTCTGTTGTCAGACCCTGACAAGATTGAGAAGATCCTCAGCACTCTTGTTAAAGGGACACGCCAACCTGTGACCTGCAAGGTTCGCATCCTGCCATCGCTAGAAGATACCCGGAGCCTTGTGAAGCGGATAGAGAGGACTGGCATTGCTACCATTGTGGTTCCTGGGAGGAAGCAGGAGGAGCGACCTCAGCATCCTGTCAGCTGTGAGGTCATCAAAGCCATTGCTGATACCCTCTCCATTCCTGTCATAGCCAATAGAGGATCTCATGACCACATCCAAAGGTATTCGGACGTAGAGGACTTTCGACAAGCCACGGCAGCCTCTTCCGTGATGGTGGCTTGAGCTGCCATGTGGAACCCATCTATCTTTCTCAAGGAGGGTCTGCGGCCCCTGGAGGAGGTCATGCAGAAATACAACAGATACGCGGTGTAGTATGACAACCACTATACCAACACTAAGTACTGCTTGTGCCAGATGCTATGAGAACAGTTGGATTCTCCCCAGGGAAGGTTGCTCCATGCTGCCCAGTCTTCCCAGGAAATTTGTGAGGCCTTTGGCCTTGGTGCCTTCTATGAGGAGACCACACAGGAGCTGGATGCCCAGCGGGCCAAGCTCTCAGCCAGGACTTCAGAGTAGACCGGGGAGCCAGCTGAAGATACCTCTGGTGTGATTAAGATGGCTGTCAAGTTTGACCGGAGGGCATATTCAGCCCAGATCACCCCCAAGATGTGTCTGCTAGAGTGGTGCCAGAGAGAGAAGTTGCCACAGCCCATGTATGAAATGGTTCAACGCCCTATAGACTGCCTGTTCTCTTCTATTGTCACCATTGCTGAACAAAACTATCAGTCTACCTTGTGGGACAAGTCCAAGAAACTGGCGGAGCAGGCTGCGGCCATCATATGTCTGTGGAGCCAGGGCCTCCCTGAGGGTCAGCTGGGTGAGGAGAACCCTTCCTTGCACAAGCAAAAGAGGGAGGCTCCTGACCATGACTGTGGGGGCTCCAGAGCTCAGGAGCTAGCATAACCTGGGGAGCTGTGCAAGAAGCCCTTTGTGGCCTTGGGAAGCAGTGAAGAGAGCCCCCTGGAAGGCTGGTGACTACTCTTTCTGCCCTAGTCACCCCTCCATGGTCTGGTGCTAAGGTGGCTGTGGATACCACAGCATGAACCAGATGCTGTTGAACAATTTGCTGGTCTTGCCTGGCAGGAGTTAGATGTCCCAGCAGGGGCCATCAGCCTGAAGCATGGACCAGGGCCCACCCAAGGGTGGATCCTCGCTCCTTTGGTGGATCTGAGTAACAGAGTCAAGTTCCCTTTGAAAACAGGAGCTTTTCAGGTGGCACCTCCCCAACCTGACATTGGTACTGTGCAATAAAGATACCCCCTACCCTCAAAAAAAAAAAAAAAAAATAGGCTAAGGACATGAATAGACAATTCTCAAAAGAAGATATACAAATGGCCAACAAACATGAAAAAATGCTCAACATCACTAATTATCAGGGAAATGCAAATCAAAACCACAATGCAATACCACCTTACTCCTGGCAAGAATGGCCATAATTTAAAAATTAAAAAATAATAGATGTTGGCATGAATGTGGTAAAAAAGGGAGCACTTTTACACTGCTGGTGGGAATGTAAACTAGTGCAACCACTCTGGAAAACAGTGTGGAGAGTCCTTAAAGAAGTAAAAGTAGAACTACTACTTGATCCACCAATCCTACTACGAGGTATCTGCCCAGAGGAAGTAATTATATGAAAAAGGCATTTGCACACATATGTTTATAGCAGCACAATTTGCAATTTCAAAAATATAGAAACAACCTAAATTCTCATCAACCAATTAGTGGATAAAGAAAATCTGGTGTATGAGCAGGACATGGTGGCTCACACCTGTAATCCTAGAGCTTTGGGAAGCCAAGGTAAGTGGATCACTTGAGGGCAGGAATTCAAGACCAACCTGGCCAACATAGTGAAACTCTGTCTCTACTAAAAATACAAAAATTAGCCAGAAATAGCTTGTACCCTGGAGGAAGAGGTTGCAGTGAGTTGAGATTGTGCCACTGCATTCCAGCCTGGGGAACAGAGTGAGACTCAGTCTCAAAAAAAAGGAAAAGGAAAGAAAATGTGGTGTGTGTGTGAGTGTGTGTGTGTACTATGATGGAATACTCCTCATCCACAGAAAGGAATGAAATAATGGCATTTGTAGCAACCTGGATGGAGTTGGAGACCATTATTCTGAGTGAAGTAACTCAGAAATGGAAAATCAAACCGCGTATTCTCATAAGTGGGAACTAAGCTACAAGGATGCAAAGGCCTAAGAATGATATAATGGACTTGTAGGATGAGAGTGAGAGAGACAAGACTAACATTGGGTAGAGTATATACTTCCTGGGTGATGAGTGCAGCAAAATCTCATAAATCACCTCTAAAGAACTTACCCATGTAACCAAAATCCACCTGTTCCTTAAAAACTGTTAAAATAAGAAAGTCATTATGCTTTGGCAAAATTAATTAGGAAGGATTCTGAAATGAAACAAGGGTTTTGGGTCTGAAGCTAGCTATGAAAGTTTACATTTTACTGCTGTATTCAGTAAGCTGAGTTTCTGTTTTCTATATCCTTAAACTTCATGTACATGGGCATATTGCCTTTAAGGGCCCTTCCAGGTTTAAGTCTTCAAGACTTAATAATTATATTTCTCTTCTGAGGGTGTGTATGTCATTGACCCCTAGGACGACATACAATTCAAGTTCTGCTGCTATTTTCCCACTATGGAGGTTTGCCTTTATCTTACCTATTGTCCTTGTGGAAGATGCTATATGTATCACATGGTTGGACAGTGTTAAGATCTATCGCTGGATCAGGGACATTCTGTGGCCAAGATCAGGATTCATAGTGTGGGATCCAATCTGTAACCAAGATTGCTTTCAGTCTATGGTTACGGAGCTGAGAAAATTATCCAGTTGAGATCTTTGAAATCATGTCTTTATACTCATAGCACCACAGTGTCTGCTCCACTTATCTGACCTACTAAACTATGCTGGAGGATTCTGGGCACATGAACATGGACACTCAAGGATTCTTCTGGTCCTGGCTATGCCCAACTCTGTATATTTAGAAACTGGGGAGAAAATGGATACTCTGGATCCCCACAACCTCCAGCGCTTCCTTCCAAGACAATACTAATTCAATTCACTGTCTTAGAGTGGCCTGTTTTATGACTGGGAGCCCCTTAAGGGAAAGAGCTCCACTGGATTCATCAGTTTTTATGAGCTCATTATTCCTACCTCTTTTAATTGAGGAATTCCCTAGTTGTAAGTACTGTGCTAGATATTGGAAACATAGAAGTAAACAAGCCACACATAAACTCTGCCCTCATGCGGCTAATATCAATGCAGAGGTGAGAAAATAGGTGCTTTGATAGGACAGAAGCAGTATAGGGTACTAGTGCAACGGAGAACAAGGGTCCTAAACAAGTGTGGTATTAGAAAAAGTCCTTTTGGGAAATTAATGTTTAATTTGGGGCCTGAAAAATAAATAGTAATTGGACAAACGAATGGTACTAGAGAAAAGTGTTATAAGTATAGGGAACAGCTTATGTGAATACCTATAAAGTAAAAGGAAGTTGACCCATTGAAGGCACCAGAAAAAGGCCAGTTTGATCCTTGTCATGGAACTGTTCTATATCTTGATGGTGATGGTAGTCACATGAACCTACACATGAACAAATTGCATAGAACTGGCCAGGCACAGTGGCTCCCACCTGTAATCCCAGCACTTTGGGAGGCCAAGGCAGGCAGATCACCTGAGGTCAGGAGTTCAAGACCAGCCTGGCCAACATGGTGAAACCCCGTCTCTACTAAAAAAAATACAAAAATTAGCTGGGTGTGGTGGCAGATGCCTGTAATCCCAGCTACTCAGGAGGCTGAGGCAGGAGAATCACTTGAACCTGAGAGGCAGAGGCTGCAGTGAGCTGAGGTTGTGCCACTGCACTCCAGCCTGGACAACAGAGTGAGACTCCATCTCAAAGAAAAAAAGATTGCATAGAACTAAATACACATACATATAACCAAATGAATATATGTAAAACTGATGAAATATGAATAATGTCAATGGATTATAATAATGTCGACTTTCTGGGTGTAATACTGTACTCCAGTATGCAGGATGTTACCACTGGGAGAAACTGGGTATACAGGATAGCTCTCGATTATTCTTAGAACTATATGTGAATCTATAATTATCTAAAAATAAAAAAAGAAAGAAGAAAAAGGAACAAAAGGGGGAGGGGGTAAAAGGGGGAGGGGGAGGAAAAAGAGAAGAACAAAGTGGCAGCCAGTTTGACTGAAGCAAAGAGAATAAGGGAATAGACAGCGTGAGTAGAACCCAGAGAGTTGGTAGGGGGTAGGGATTGTACAGGATTAAAATCAGGTGGGACTTTATCCAAAGATAGATGAGAAGCTTTTCGAAGGTCTTTTTTGAGGAGTAACATGATCAAATTTGCATTTGAGGATGATCATTCTGGTTTGGGGAATGTATTGGGAAGGAGTAAGATTAAGAGCAGGGAAATAACAATTGAACTAGGATATAGTGGAGAAGAAGAGAAATAGATTTGAAAGATATATATGGTTCAGAATCCATGGGAGTTGATGACTAAGAGGTGAGAGGACAGTAGGAGTCAAGAGTGACTCACTGGTTTCTAACCTGATCTTTGGGCGGATGATAGTACTCTTTACTAAAATAGGAAACATTTGAGGAGAAGCAAGCTTCAAGAGAAAAGTTTGAAGAGATGGGTTTGAAATATTTGAGATGCCATTAAGACCTTAAAGTTGATATGTCTAGTAAGCAGCTGTATGCCTATGTAACTGGAGCTCAGAAGTCTGCACTAGGTGTGTGCAGACACAGAATGAAAAAGGCCAGAAGACCTACAGTAAAATTCTGAGGAATATTGACATCTGAAATGGGGGTCAAGGAAGAGGAGCCTACATGGAGACAAAAGATTATCAAAGAGGTCAGGAAAACTTAAAGATTACTGAAATCAGGAGGAAAAAACGTTTTCTGGTTAAAGGCAAGGTCAGCAGTGTGAATGCTCCTGAGAGACCAAATGAAGCGAAGTGTCCTTGAATCAGTAACTCATTGGTGACTCTGGAGAGGAGGTTCGGTAGGGGCAAAGGCCACACCTCAGTGGAGTTGAGAAGTGAATGGGAGTGAGTGGATGTTGATAATAACTATGCATAGCACTTTGTTCCAAGAAGTTCTGCTTTTGCAGAGGAAGAAAGAAGGAGGTAATTGAGGAAGAGACAGGGATGAGTGAGGCTTTTGATGTGTGGCCATTGTTGCTTTTTGAAGCTGGGAAAGACTTGGGCATGTGTAAGTGCATATATAAAGCAGCCCTCCAAAGATAAGAGGTTGAAGATCCAGGGGAGAGCACAGGGCCTGGATTAGGGCAGGTGCTCCTTGAATACCAAATGTTTTCTGAAACAAATGAGCAGGGAGAGAGTTCCTGTGGGTACAGTCTCTGGGTTTTGTCACACCCCACTAACTATTCTAAAAATATTGCTGTGCTTCCTCTTTCTGACACAGCTGGGAGATTAAGAATTGCACAAAAACTACCTTTTCAAACTCCCTAGAGAGGGCTCAATTTCAGATCTCAGCCAAGGTGCTTTCTCTCTGAAGCTTCTATGTGGCTGGATTGGCCCCTCCTCTACCAGCACCTAATCCTGGCTCCCAGCACAAGGGTAGATCCCCCCAAAGCAGCAGCAAACAGAAAAGTTTCCACTGCGGCTTCTTGAGCACCAAGGTGGATGTGCCTGGCCCACTCTTGAGGAATCAGCATGGCCAGGCATATTCTCTCACTGATGACTTCATACCGGCTTTGAAAAGGCATTGAAGCTGACTAGATAACCTAAACAACTTGCAACAGTGTGCTTAGAGATAATAATGTTATTATATTTAATTCAGGCACCCCTTTCAATGTCAGTCATTCCCCTTTATAAGCTACTACTACTACTACGTTGTGTAAGGTACCTAACTTTTTTGTTTTCAATGGGTGGCAAGCAGTCCAGGGAACTGTTGTGAAGAGCAAAATGAGAGGACATAAATAAAAGAGCCAGGCATATATTATATTCTTAATAAATTCACATCTCTTTCGCCTTCTTCCCAGGAGCCGAAACTTTCTTTTTCTCCCAGCAGGTGCCAAAGTCTTGAGTCTGAG